TCATTCGAAATATGGTCAACAAAGGAATCTGGCTGCATCGAGAGGCTGCTGCTGTTGTTCTTGTTTTTACATGAGTTTTATTTTTGAATTCCTGAGGGCACACAGAAGAGTGGGAACATCTTGTGGCTACCCTTTCCCCGAAGGCCAACTCTAGAGCAGCCAGACACCAGCCCCTGCCTATGGTCACATTCCAGACAGGCATTTATAAGACAGCATCATGATTAAAAGGAAACTACTCCATCATTAAGACTCCAAACCTAATAGCAGAGGGACAATTTTTCATGGAAATTATTTCTAAAACCAAATTCTACTGGAAGGCGGTTTTCATTTTATTTCTTGGGCTTCCTTTCTCCCGATCGTCTCTCTTTTCACTGAAGTTAAAGCGGAAGAGAAACGGCATAAATTTCACTGAAAAAAAATTCAGCTGGACTCTGGATGGGAGGAACAGGCAGGGATCCCACTACTCTGTAGAAGTCAAGATTTAGAGATGGTGATAAAGATTTAGAGATGGTCATTGGAACCTGGTCATGGAATAAATCAGTCTCGGAGCCAATTTCTTTCTTTACCTTTCTGCTTTGTAAATCTCCAAGAATGACTAGGTGGCCCTCACCCTCAGAAAGGGTTTGAGTTTTGCTGTCATTGGCCCTGGCTGAAGTCACAGGATGCTTCTCTGAAATGAGAGGTGCATCCTTGCATCCCAGGACTTCATCCAGGGGAGACCACGATATAGACAAGAGCAATGTTTACGATTGGTCTGAAACAACAGTTTACTGTTCCCCTTTCTCTCTCCTGCATGTCTTCTAACAGCATCTGCAAAATGCACTATGCCCAGTCTCCTTGTTTTTTTCCCAGACCCGACAGAGGCTGGAGCAATAGAAACGAGTGATTATTCAGGCAGAAAAATCGTGAGGTGGACAGGTTTATCTCTAGGCATAGGCAGCCTAAAGAGAGACGGTTTTCTCCCCTACTGGGAACAGGAGTGGTTTGAGAATTCTGCCTTGTCCAGGCTCCACCCTTGGGGTCCACAGGCTTTTCCTCTGCAGCTGCCCAAACTGGGGAAGGATTCAAGCGTCAACATATGGCGCCATGTGCTGGAGTGCAGGCTGGGACCCAGCCTTCTCCACTCTCCTTACTCTGTGTTCTGCGGCTGGTGGCCAGCAGTGGTGGTATCTGACCATCCTGGAATGACACACTGGGCTGGCACTAGCAAGGCCAGCTAGGCATGTACTTCCAGTGCAAAATTAAAGCCACCGACCCCCCCAAACCCTCAGCAATCACAATAAATAATATCCTGTGTTATTTTATTTATTTATTATTATTATTATTTGAGTTGGAGTCTCACTCTGCACTCAGACTGGAGTACGGTGGCATGCTCCCGGTCACCGCAGCCTCGACCTGCTGGGCTCAGGCGATCCTTTCGCCTCAGCCTTCCAAGTAACTGGAACTACAGGCGTGCCCTACCACACCCGGCTAATTTTTTATGTATTGTAGAGACAAGGTCTTGCCAAGTTGCCCAGGCAGGTCTTGAACCCGTGGACTCAGGCAATCCACTCGCCTTGGACTCCCCAAGTGCTGAGATTACAGGCTGAGTCACCTAATGTGATATTTTAAAGATTAAAATTAATACAAGAATCCATGACAAAACAAAACTAAACATAGACTCCCCACATGATCTTGCAATCACGCTCCTTGGTATCTACCCAAAGGAGCTGAAAACGTATGTCCACACAAAAACCTGCACATGGGTGTTTATGACAGCTTTTTTCATAACCGCTAAGACTTGGAAGCAACCATGATGTCCCTCAGTAAGGGAATGGACAAATAAACTGTGACACATCAAGACGATGGAATACTATTCAGTGCCAAGAAGGAGCGAGCTATCAAGCAATGGAAATACATGGAAGAAACTTCAATACACTTAATGCTAAGCGAAAGAAGCCAATCTGAAAAGGCCACATACTGTAGGACTCCAGCACTATGACATTCTGGAAAAGGCAACATTATGGAGACAGTAAAAAGACTAGTGGCTGCCAGAGGTTGGGGGCAGGAGGGTTGAACGGGTGGAGCACAGAGGACTTTTAGGGCAGTGAGACATTCTGTATAATACTACGGTGATGGATAGACATCATTTATACATTTGTTCAAATCCATAGATGTATAACACCAAGAGTAAGCCCTAATGTAAACCATGGACGTGGATGACAATGATGTGTTAGTGTGTAAGTTTGTAGATCACAACATGCACCATTCTGGTGTGTGGTATCAACAGTAGGGAAGGCTCTGCATGTATAGGGGCTGGGCTATATGGGATCTCTGCACTTTCTGCTCAATCTTGCAGCAAACTTAAAATAGTTCTTTAAAAAAAACCTTTAAAAAAAAAAAAAATCCATGATGAACAGACCACCAAAATTTTAAATAAAGACAAGATCAACGGGGCTTCGTGGGAGAGCTTAAAACTCTGTGCATGGAGACACAATGACAATGTACAGATCCCCAAAGACACCCAGGGCTTCCAAACCAGGAGGTCACAGCTCAGGGTGTCCAGTCGGCAGCCTACGAGGCCCTGTGGAGCCACAGCTGCGTTTCCGAGCCACCCAGGTGCTGGGGGACACTGTGGCTCACAGCTCACAGCCGGGGCTCTCTGCAGAGTGCTGCTCATCCCAGGAGCCCGCCTGTCTGCAAGTTAAATAAGGCCAGGCACGCGGGGAGTTTCCCAAAGACAAGGCTGAGCATGGCCCCCAGGAGAGAGATCGCGTTTACACTCTCCATGACTCACATTTTCCTCTTTATTTCCCATCCAGGCTCAACTGGGTTACGCCACGAGGGCCAGGTGCGGCCGGGAGGACATTCCCAAATCGGCCACAAAGAGGCGGTCAAGGGCTGCACCATCCCAGCTGGCCCGGCGCCAGCCTCATTTGCTGGAATCACCGCTTCCCTCGCATTGGCAAGAAACTCATTTCTCTCCTCTCCTCTCCTCTTACTGTGTTCCTTTGTTTCAATCCAGCAGTTGTGAAAATCACAAGCCAAAAAGCCCCTTGTGGAGACAGCAGAACAAACAGCGGAGATGCATTTTTGAGCCTGCTGTGACACTGCACACTGGCACTTTACAGCAAGGGGTGCTGAGAGGAAAACTGAGCAATTTGCAGAATCGCAGCCACCCCTGGGCGAGAACACACGCCACCCTCAGCAGTTCCTTGGGTAAAGCTGTCCCCAGTTCCTGCAGCCTCTCTGCCCCAAGGCTCGGTTCTGGAACAAGGCGGGGAAGTCTCTACCTGCACTGCCAAGCACTCTTGGCTACAAGGGAAATTCCTGCCCTCAAAACAAAGAATCTATTATCCAACAGTCAAAGTTCCCCAGGGTTGGGGGAAGGCAAAAAGGTGTTTATTCTTATCTTCACTTTAGCTTGCAAAGCAGAGGCTATCTTTATAGAGACCTGAGCTCTACTCATTTCCGCCAAAGCACAAAGAAGAAATTCTACTCCTTGGCTGGCTTCTGCCTCAGGTGTGAGTGGGGTTAAGAAAGCACAACTGGCTGGTGTGGTGGCTCACGCCTATAATCCCAGCACTTGGGGCCAAGGCGAGATTGCTTGAGCCCAGGAATTCAAGAGCAGCCTGGGCAACACAGCAACACCTCATCTCTATGAAAAAAATAAAAAGAAAGCACACGTTTCTTTAATCCAGATGGAAAGCACCAGTTTAGTGTTGGAGTGGAAGACTGTGTCATCTTGACACAGCCCTAGCCTAGGACGCTCCCTGGGTGTATCTCACCCCTGCGTGTCCTTGGGCCTTCATTTGTAAGGTGAGACTAATAAGAGCCAGAGGCCTGGACTTCCCACTTGTCATTCAATTAATTGACTGTGTGAGTTCAAACAAACACATACACAGTAAAGAAGGAGATTTTCTGTGCCTTTCTCTCATTTGTAAGATGAGGACCCTGGATTACTAACCTAAGATTAAGTATACAAAATGTAATGCTAAACATTAGTACTGATAATGCAAATAATAATGTTTTAAGGACAGCGAGGACAATGTCTGAACCAATCTACTCAGGTGGTCATCTGAAACTAAGGAACAAAATCAGGGTACCTTCTCACATCTGTCTTCATCCTTCTCCTTCCAGCAAGACATTTGCTCAGTTTTACATGGCAGAGTTCAGCTATCTTTTACACGGGTCAGACTCTGAAGGCTTTTGCATGTTGATCCTTTTCCTGTCCCCTCTTACCTTCAGGCCCATCAGTCTGCAAACCCAAGTACCCAAACAGAACCTTAACATGGTAGGGGCGGACATGATACACCGCACAGTTGGCAGAGGTCTAAATCCTCATGACTTGTATATTTCATTAAAGGGTTAAAAAAAAACAAAAAGCAAAGCAAGATAGAAAGTGAATCTCCAATACAAAAGAGCAAATGATATATGGTATAGGAAGAATCTTGCTTTTTGGAAAAGCTGTGCCCTGTATGTGCCAAGCCCCTACGTCCTCTCATGTGAAGGAGTCTCATGTTTATGGCTCTCATGAACAGTCAGAGAGGTGTTGGCCACATTGTTGCTCCTTGTCCTGAAGTCATTCGTTTCCTCCACTGGACTGCCAGTCAGATGGAGCAGCACTGGTCCAAACCTACATCACAGGGCACACACCCCAACCGTGCTGGCTTCTGGGACTAGGGAGGAGGTTTGCGAGTGGAGAGTCTCATTCTGCAGTCAGTCCTTGGCTGTTCCCTCTAGTACCAGGAACATAGGCTAGTGTTACCAGCCTCTTGGCGTGAATTGCTCATCCCAGTCAGTTCTGAACAGGTCCAACCCCAAAGCCAGCTTGCACTTGACCTTATTCCTCAGTAGGAATACCCTCAGTGCTTGACATTGACCCAATGAAGTTCTCCAATACTAGTGTTTTTACAAATCAAGAGCAAGTCAACATTGAATGTAGAAATATAGATTCAGAATTATAAAAATATACACATGCCATAATAAGGGGACATCAGAAAGTGCCTTCTGGAGCTTACCCAGAGATCTTTCTTTCGTCTGGTTGGTGGACCTCACCACGGGAAGGCTCGCGCGAGTCCGGCTGCCTCTGGAAAATGGGCTGGGAGCATCCCCCTCAGACATGGCTTCCAAAGAATCAGCAGATGTCTCTGATAAGTGCTCGACCGGGTCGCCCAGACTGGGAGGTTGAGGACTGTGAGACAGTTTGGGGCTTCTTGTCTGCAAAAGACATTTTAAAGAACATGGGAAAACAGACTATTATTAATTATGCTGAAAATATTTCCAATGCTGTCTCTGTCAATCTGGAAAAATAATATGGCAAGGGGACAAGCCCCACAGAAGGACTGCATAGAGAAAACTAAAGACCCAAGAAAAAAATAATACTGTCCCTAAGTAGTCCATTAAGATTTTTATCGCTGGACTTTCATAGTAAAAATGTTATTTCCAAAAGGGAATTGAGGACAAGCCACATAATAGAGAAGAATGATGGCAAATCAATTCCTTTTGCCAGATGAATTCTGACAGTGGTTCTCACAACAGATGGGGCCGTGCACTTTTCTCAACACCCAACATGACTGAGGTACTCACACCAAAGTAAACTGAACACAATCAGTCCTTCAAAGTCTTATATCAAGACTGTTTCCAAAATCAGTAAACTAAGATTGCGAGGGAGATACTTATATTATAGCTGAACTTTTAATGTTGAGGCAGAAATCCCATAAGTAAGATTATGTCTAGCTTTGGTTATGACAGCCAATCAGCAGAAAGTATCTATGATAAACTTAAACCCCCCCCCACACAACAATCATTGAATTTCTCTCTTGGTTATCTATCCTGCAATGGCAGAGGTTGAATGTGAAAAATGCTCATAATTTATTGGTCGATAATATTCCTTGAACATGAATTGTAGGTTGAGCACTGTGGGAATTTTTTTTAAAATGAACAATATGTTGGCTAATGTCACAATTTCTAAACTAACTGGCGAAATTCACGAAGTCCAACAAGTAACACAAGATAGTGAAAAAAAAAGAATACATACAAACAAAATTAACATAATTTATTGATTAGATTGATTATATACGTGTGTGAATAAATTATTAAATTTAAAAAAATGGTATATAATTAAGTATAAACTGTGAACTACATGGTACATTCACTCATCTTTCAACAAACACCTATTGAACACCTACTGAGTTCTAGATACTGTGTTAGGTACTAGGAACAGAATGACACACAAAACAGATGCCTATAATCTAGTGCTTATAATCTAGAAAGGAGACAGGTATGAAAGACAAATTAAAAGATCTCATGGAAAAGGAAAGTTCGGGAGAGGGGGCAAGCCAGAGGGCAGGTATGAAGAGAGAGAAAGACATTCCAGGTATAGGGAACAGCATGTGCAAAGTCTCTCAGGTATGAAGAAGTGGCATACGCTGAGGCTTAGTGGGCAGGGACAGATCACACATGACCTTGAAGCCATGGTGAGTATTCTCACCTTGACTTTAAGGTAACAGAACACCATTGAGGTATCTGGACAGGTAAAGGAAGGGGGGCAGGATCAGATACATTTTTTTTAAAGATTGTGTGAGCTATTGTGTAGAGACTGGAGCATCTCTCTAAGACATGGCTTCCAAAGAATCAATGGATGTTTCTGATAAATGCTCGAGAGGCAGCCCAGACTGGGTGAGTATACATGTGGAAGGGCAGAGACTGAGCAATAAAACTGGGAAGATTAGGTTGAATAGTCATTATCTCAACTTTCACTTCTCTCACTCCCCACCCCTGATTACCTGATGTGAGTCACTCCTGCCACAGTCTGGGATGCAACTGACCTGAATCGATCAGGCAGATGAGTTTTATTAAGACATCAAAGATGCTGAAACACTGGCAGTATGATATAGGCAGTCCCTAAGTCCCAGGAGCCAGGATTTTATCTGTTGGCATTCCTTAATTTCCATTAGGTTTTCCTAAGGCTGCCCATGCATTTTGAAGTAAAGCACCAAGGCATTTATCTCTCACGGCAGGGCCTCCTTTCTGAGGGTACAACCTGTGCACTCACACAGGGCCCACGCTTGAAAGGGTTTGTGCTTCTTTTCATACTCTTCTGTGGCTGTCTTGAAATTCTTAATCATTTTTTGAACAAGGTGCCCTGAAAATTCTGTAGTCAGTTCTGCCTCAAGTCTTCGGCTGCAGATCTCGTTCAGGGATGCCTCTGAAAGATGTGCCTGACATTCTAGAGGAATCTTTTGGGGTGAGATGGTCAGTTTTTTCCCCTCCTCCTTGCTTAAAGCCTAAGGAGACCTTTGTTGGCATTATCTAGATACTCACAACTTGCTACAACTCTCAGGACCTTCTCATAAAGGGAAACGGATAAGGTCAGTACCCCACTCCACCACGTCCCTTAAGGGATGTGGCTTTGGGGAGATGCCTGGGAGTTTCATAGGAAACTCAGTTCAGGTTACATGACAATATCATGGCCAGAAAGGACACCCATTAACAGTCCAATTGTCTCTTTTGGTTAATTCTTCTGGGCAAACCCCCAAAGTGGTTTATTCCCAGATTCATTTTTCATAAAGTCTACTTCTGTTATGGGGATCCGGTTTTGGCACACATTACAAGTGTTATTTGACTAGGAAAATCACCCCTAAATCACTGCCCAGTTCACCAAGATTTAGATAAATTCACGTGATCCTCAATGAAATAGCTTCCTAGTTACCAGGCTCAGTGAAATATCAAGCTACGATGTCCTAATCCCTAACTTTAAAAAAAAAAAGGCTGGGTGCGTTGACTCAAGCTTGACATCCCAGAACTTTGGGGGACCAAGGCGAGAGGATTGCCTGAGCCCACAGGCTCAAGACCAGCCTGGACAACATGGTGAGACCTCGTCTCTACAATAAATAAAAAATTAGCCAGGTGTAGTAGCAAGTGCGTATAGTTCCAACTACTTGGAAGACTGAGATGGAAGGATCACTGGATCCCAGCAGGTCGATGCTGGAGTGGCCGTGAGAGTGCCACTGCACTACAGCCTGGGTGACGCAGTGAGACTCCAACTCAAAAAAAAAAAAAAGACACATTCAGTTTAGCAAGATAGCCAAGAAATTTTATTTCAAGCAACATGGCTACATTTACAACCTCTGCCATTTGGTCATTTTTACAGCCTAGGGCAGACATGATACATTTGATGAGTTGTCATTTTCCATTGCAGAAGGCAATAATCCTTGAAGAAAATCAAAATCAAATCTCTATTTCTTGTCCAGGGTCATCTTGGTAGTAGGTATGTAGAAAAACAGAGATGTAGGGCTAAATCTCCCCTCAACAACTTCCTATTCAAAGCTATTCAGTTCCAAGTATAAACTCCTCTCATTTTTTATGTTATTCACTTTCTCACTGAAAACCATCACTGCACATTAGCAATCTCCTCACATGCAATGCCCTCCCCTCTGATGCCAACTCACTGCTGAAACATCATTTAGTTCAGAGAAAAGACAATGGAAATTGCTGACACTGGTGCCAGATACCCTATGATTTGATATATTAAAAAAAAAAGTCAGAAAGCAATTGGGACAGGAATTCTGCACTCTGCACAGTGCAAGGCATTTGGGAATGCAAGTGCAGTTTGTGATTCTTGAATTCCTCGAGCATTTAAGTTATATTTGGGGGCCAACAATAATATAAACGCAAGCATGCAACAGTAGAGCAAGAGGAACCAAGAAGTGCATCATTGTGAGTGCAAAAGGGGTTTAGGGGAATAACTGCTCACTTTGAAGGGTGGGTTGGAGAGGAGGAAGAATATGGTGAGGGAGGTAGTAAGGATTGCCCTGGGCTTAGCAATAGAGTGACCAGTCACCCACTCCTAGCCAGGTCTACACTGACTGGACCAAGGAATAACCATCTGATCTTAGCTAGACCAATCAAATTCTCTCCCATGGGAATGTGCTTCTTGACTGGACCAAGCAGTAGCCACCTGATCTTAGCTGGACCAACCAAATTCTCTCCCATGGGAATGTGCTTCCTGATTGGACCAAGCAGTAGCTATCTGATCTTAGCTGGAATAATCAAATTATCTCCTCTGGAAATGTTGATCTAGGGCAGAGAATCTATTAGCCAGTGTCTACAGAGAACTTGAGAGAGAGAGACAGAGAAAGACAGAGACAGAGAGACACTAGTAAACTGAGGACTTTCCAATGAAGTCCTCTAATTAATCCAGTTTTTGTTCCTGCACTAATTTGAGATGACTCTGTGCCTTGAAAGCAAACTATCACTGACAAACACCAATTCTAATGGTATCCCCTGGCCAGGGTGCAATAGTGCTCACACATTTATATATTAGTAATCACGGTGAAGAAAGCTAAATTCTTTAGGGGCAGTAGTGCCCATTATTTTGTATTTCATGGATTAATATTTCTAAACAAATTTATGAAGGGTTATAACATAGAGATGCTGATTTTATTTTGTAAAGTTCGAGGCATTAAAACAAAAAAACTTGGGGCCAGGTTCGGTGGTTCAGCCTGTAATCCCAGCACTTTGGGAGGCCGGCGTGAGTGGATTGCCTGAGCCCATGGGTTCGAGATCCACCTGGGCAACTTGGCGAGACCTCGTCTCTACAATAAATCAAAAATTAGCCAGGCGTGGTATCACGCACCTGTGGTTTCGGCTACTTGGAAGGCTGAGGGAAGGAGACATCCTCACAAAATGTCAGATTTGATCTAATGAAAAAATACGTTGGAGGTACTGTTCTCATTTTGCCTCAAATGAAAACTTTTCTCCGTCATGCATGGTCTACAGTCTGGCATTTGAAGCCTCCACCCTAGGCAGCTGAGTGGAGAGCTATCCCTAACTGGGGAGGAAGCAGGGGATGCTGGGATTGAGCCACTCGGGCAGGATTCAAGGGTCTGCATGACTGGATTTCCCTCCTTGCTCCACGGAGACCCAAGATACCAATCTCCCTTTGCTTCCATCACAACCTTCTAGAGACTTCCCCAAATCATTAGGCAACCCCAACCTGCAAACCCAAATGGGAAGTCTTTGGAAGTCATGCAGGAAGGGCTCATCTGTATAACCAGGCCACCTGAACCCCACTCGTCCTTTCTATTCTTCTCTTCTTCAAAGAGGACTTTCTATCATAGCACCAAGACATGCTGGTGTTAACAGGCTCCACACAGCTCCTTCCTCTTCTGTATCTGCAGCCTCTGCAGACCGGCCCTCTAGGAATATTCTATTCTTC